GCGTCACGAAAACGCAAGGAGCAGGTGCTCGAACAAATGCCCGGACCAGCAGTGGAAGAAGATCCAGATATCGCTGAACTCAAAGAGGAGTTGGAAAGCCAGCTGTTGGACATGAATGTCATGGACGATCGAACAAATCCTGATTCATTGCCGGCAGAGCCTTGTGTCCATGCTCCCAGTCCAAGAGAGCCCGCCCCCCCGGCGGAGGAGCCCTGTGTCGATGCTTCCCGTCCACACTCTGTGCTTGGTGGTGCCGGGGTCGCACACGAGGAAACAAAAGTGCAAGCACAGCCATCCAATGGGACCTTGCCGGATCCAATATCCGGGCCAAGGGACAGTGGAATGGCACAGGCCTCGTCCTCGAGCGGATCAGCCCCTGAGCAGGTCCTTGATGATGCTGCACATCGTGGCCAGGCATCGCAACGTGCTCCGCGCGAGCATGGTCCACACTTGAATAACACTCCCGACTTCCTGTCGGAGTTGGATCCACCCGAAGACTTCAAGTTGCGTCTCAGCTTCAACGATCATCGCTTCAAAGCCGAGATCATGACAAAACAGTATGTGTCAAGTGAGGGGAAAAAGTCTTGCAGCAAAAGCTTTGCTAACGACAGATCAGACTGGAAGCAAGCACTGGCTCAAGTGCATCGCTGGGCGTGGACAGAGTGGGAGAAGGCCAAACCTGAAAGGCAACTGCCGCCTCATTGTCAGCCTGGCACTATCCCTGAGGCTGTCCTGGAACGCCTTGCCCCGATTATCGACGCAATGCCTCCGCCCACAAAGTATGCCAAGTAGCCTCTTCAGTTTTTTTTGGTGATAAACACATCACAGGGGAAAACATGTCAGCAGGTTGCAGATTTCTGTCAATGTCATGTATGCAAGTATCGTGTTCTTAGCTTCAAGTCTTCGGTCGATTCAAGAAGTCACAGGGAGTGAGTTCATCCAGCCGAGTCCAATGTGTGTGAATCTGCTCCTGCTGTCATAGCGGCAACATGTTCGATTCACAATTTTGGCTTCAGCTTGTGCGCAGTTGCTGTTCATTCTGTGATTGAGTCTTTACAGTTACGTTGCAATTACAGTTGCTGAATGCCTGAAGTGTGCAATTGAAGATGACATGACATGAATCATGAAGTCTCACCATAGTTATGCTGCAGATTGCTCGGGGAGAAAGCGATCAGCAAAAACAAGCCTTCCTGACATTGTGTCCTGTTAGTTTGTGGAATGTGCTTGATATGCCAGGCAAGCATTGAATCCATTTGTTGCTCAAGTTGGACCAGAGGTATGGTTTAAAGTTATGTGGGACAACAAATCAATGTATTGATGTCAGTGAATCACCAACATGTCCAATTTCCAGTGGCCGTGCCAGCATGTGCTGGGATCATCGCTGGTCTTCAGTGGTAGTGCTGGGCCTGTGAAGCCAGCACGCAAGAAATGCAAAAGGAAAAAGAATGCTGCAGAGTCATTTGAGTTGGGAGGTAGATCAGTGGAGCGCCCGTGTACTCTTCCTGCCTTGAATTTTACCGATACAGTTACAGGAACTGATGAAATTGATGATCGGTTTGACACTTGGGTAGAGGACGTCTTCGAGCAAACATCGCGATTGCAATGTTCGCATTTCCTTCCGTTTGCTTCCTTGTCTTTCTCCCCAAGGCCGGAGTCTGTTCAAGGTGTTATGGGTCACAGATTTTGTTATAATTTGAATTTTTCATTAATGTAATACTACATAAACTTATCATCATCCTCAATTGATCTTGCTGGCCAGGTCCACAGAGCCTTGGTGTCACAGGCTCATGGTTGCAAGGATTTTGGTGCAAAATTTCTTGCGCTACGACCAGGACTTCAATGTGGGCAGAGTGGCCATGAAATGGCATGGGCTGATTGGATTGGCTTATCCCGCATTGAAGAACCGAACCATCGAGTGTCAGCTGATGTGCATCATTAGCCGTAGCTATGACAACAGAGCCAAGATTGAAGCAGCTTCAATCGATGTGGGACCCCATCAATGTGCGGGGTTGCTGCAATACATTGAATACTATGCAGGGAGCGCCAAACTTTCGAAGAAATTGATCGAATCCGGTCTCCGTGGGTGCAGCTTTGACATACTCTACAATGACGAACACAACATGTTGCTAGCGAAAGGGTTGCGTTTGTTTCTGGATGCAGCCACAGCGTGTGAGAAGAAGGCTTTGCATTGGTGGGGCACTCCGTGCTCTTCTTTTGTCATTATGTGCTCATTTCGTTCCCAACGTGCTGAAAGCAACGGCTGGGAAGGCGCATGGACTGAGCGGGACTTTGTATTGCAGGGAAATTGTCAGGCCCTTGTTTGCTCACTTGGGATTTTCCTGGGATGGGCATGTGAGTGCTGCCCTGTGGTGGAACAGCCCCTCAGCTCCTGTATGCCGCACCTCGAGTGTGTCAAAACAGTTCTATCCTTTTGTGGCTTCGAAAAGACTTGCACCTACATGGGTGCCTTTAACGGAAAGTCAGTGAAGCCCTTGCAACTGTGGCATTTGCCTGGGTTTCATTTTGAGAACCTGGCCAGGCCCAAACCAGATCATAATGCTTTCATTGGTCTGGTAAACCGAGGCGAAGACGGCCGTTTCACCGGTGTGCCAGCAGATGTACAGGCTAGTGGGGAATACACTTCGATGTTCGGGGAAGCAGTTGCGCAGATTGTCCGGAATCTATTGTGACGATCCGCTTCGTCAGCCAAAATACGTTTCATAGCTTACTGAGCTGCATGCTTTTTATTATTCAAGCCAATCTGCTGTGACTGGTTTTTGGGGTGTGAATGCTGTGACACAACAGCAACAGCAGGCCATGCAGCAACACAGGTAAAACAGTGCGATGACTGATGAGAAGGTTGCATAACAATTGAGACACAAGTCTGATTTGCTTGCAGCCTTATGTCGATGTGGCTGTCTCAGTGAACACACTTGGAGGAACAGAATTGATATGGCTCTTTCAGTGAATGAGTATGCGCCGGCAAATCAGGGCCTTGGACGTCGTGCTTGCCTTCTTTGCCCCACTTGAGGAGGATTCCTCAAGATTTCCTCAATTCGAATCGTCAACCTTGCCAAGCAATGCCATGCTGACTCAAGATTTCCTCAACCTTGCAGCAACCTGTTTAAGTTGACAGGTTGTTCTGAGCAGTGTGAGGAAACAATAGATGCCATCCACTGTGACCTTGCCCGATGTGCCCATGTCGGTGCAAGGGGTCAGTGGCATGGCACAAGTGAACACACTTGAGGAACAATTTCTTGTTGACAATTTGGGAGTCACACCTTTGCAGCTTCTGCCGGCTCTTGCACAGACGTCCTCAGCCTTGCGAAAACCTGTTGGTGTTGCCGGGCTCTCACCCGAAGAGCCATCAAGTTTCCTTGCTTGGGGACACAAAGGCCAGCCATCTAGTGTGACCTTGCCCGACGTGCCAATGTCGGTGCAAGGAGTCACTGGAATGGCACAGCTTCCGGTTGCTCTGTTCACACACCGGCTTGGACAGAAATAATACTACATTTTTTCATGGTTTTCTCAACAATTTTCAGTGTCTGCAAATCTCCAGTTACATTAATTCTGGACAAACCTACCGTGTCGTAACGTATCCAATAAGTCTTTGTTCAGGTTGACTTCTGATTTTGATAACTTTGGTTTTTGCCAAGCCCACTGATCCAGCCCCCGCGGATCCAACCCTACAAACGAGCATATGGAAAAACAGACTATTTAAGATATTCAGGAACATTGAAAACGTGAGTTAAGGTAATCCTAAACTTGGAACTAAGGTAATCCTAAACTTGGAACCGTCAAAGGCTTGGGGCATCAGTGTTTTTCGAATGAAAATCATTAAACTCGACTCTGCATTTTGCCGCATCTGGTGTGGAGCTGTGTACGTGATAAACTCCCAGTAGGGGATTGGGGTTTACAGGGTTTGGTATTCAGGGATGGGGCCTGAGTAGATCGACGTATTTCTGAGCCGCATACCCTTCGGAATGCCTAAACTAGTTCATTGGATTGGATTGCCTGAAACCAGTTCTAAGGATTTCGAGGGAGTTAAGGGACTGGCGTGCTGTCTTGTGCCTCTACTTTGGCGGTGCCCAGCAGATGTTTACGGACCACAGCCTTCATGTTGCTCAGTTCCTGTACTCACTTCTAGATTAAGCTTTGCAGAATAACCTGCCATTAGTGGTCGTTTGCGGTCCCTGAATTCGAAGAATAACAGCAGGGACCACATGATGAGGCTACCCTTGATTGTTTGGAAAGATACCTGGAGGATATCTGTGGGATATCTGATACAGTGTACTTAACATGCGGCGTCCCAGGTACTTGCTGAAACCAGAAGTGTTCCGACCTTTACGGTGTCAGGCGACAAGCATGGCATCGTTTTTCTCTGCGGTGTGGTGGTTGTGTTTTTCTTCTGTGGTGTGGATGGTGTGGTGGCTGTAGCTTGGGAGCAGGGCGAAAAGAGGGAGGGAGGGGAGGGTGCAGGGAGGAGGATCAGGGAGAGAGAGGGAGAGCGGAGGTGTGGGGGGAGCGCGCGAAAGCGCACTCCCGCTTCGCATGCCCCACCTCCCCCGGCCTTTTCGGCGACCGCGTTTGGAAACAACGGTCCCCAAAAATGCTTCGAGATAAACCTGAAACCCTAAAGGCCCTAAACCTTAAACCTTATATACTTTGAAACCCTAATGTAGGAACCTGATTAAGATACCTTGGGCCTAGAACCCCAAAATAAGATTCATATAAAGAACCCTAATGAAGACTCAAGGTATCTTAATCAGGTACCCCTAAACCCAAAACCCCTAAACCCTATACCCCTAAACCCTAAACCCTATACTCGTACCCTAAACCCGGCCCTAAACCGCTTTCAGATCCCAGGTTCTGGGTTTCAACTATAAGGGATACTTGAAGCCTTTCCGGGAATTTTTTGGGTAGTCTCCATTGTAGATTTTCGAGAGTATATGATTATCAGGTACTTGGTTGGACCCTTGGGTAAGCCCTATAGAGCCGTCATGAAGCGGAAGCCGTCCTTGTTGCAGGACCCTGCACTAGCAGAACCTGTCCAGGCATCTTGTGCCCAATTCTACACCGGGTTTGGGTGCAGGCTTCAGGGAGTGCAGGGTTCCAGGTTGTGGAATCAAAGTTTTAGGGTTTAAGGATCAGGGGTTTAGGATTCAAGATATTGGCTATTGACTTGCTGTCTCAGAATTTCACGAATGAATCGCACATGAGCACGGACGTGGACAATAAAGCGCCCGCACTGCGCCAGTTTGACGCCCACTGGTCCCAAACCCCGAATCCTACACCCTAAGCCCCATAAACCTCAAACCCTAACCGAGGACAGGCCTAGGAAACGCAGCCCTAGAGGGTCAGAGGGCCCAGCGTTCCGGTTTCCGTTTTAGGGTTTCGCTGGTTGACTATCTCTGCCATATGTTGTGACCAGCAGAGATTGACAAGAGGACAGGCCGGCGAGAAGGAGGGTTTAGGGTTTAAGGGTTAAGGGTTTAGGGGTTTAGGGGTTGAGGGTTTAAGGGTTTAAGGGTTTAGGGGTTTAAGGGTTTAGGTTTTAGGGTTTAGGGTTTAAAGGGTTTAGGGTTTAAGGGTTTAGGGTTTAGGGTTTAGGGTTTAAGGGTTTAAGGGTTTAAAGGTTTAGGGCTTAGGGTTTAGGGTTAGAAGTTGTACTCTTCCAGTGTGGGCTGCATGTAGAGACAATGTAGACTTGACATCGTGCTATGGCTGCGGCATGCTGTGGGCTCCCGGGTCGTCCTTCGAGAACAATGGGATTTGAAGGAACAGCACCCTAGAACTCCAGACTCCCAACCCTAAAACCTAATCACAGGTTGGTGCCTCCCTTGAGGATGTAGGTAATAACGGTTCCATCAGGCCGCGGCAGAGGCGGTCCCAGCGCCGGCGACGTGCTTCGAGAGTCTGGGTCTTACGGCATAGGATCCAGGATTTAAGGCCGCCCTTGTATCGTTCAGGCTTTACGGGTTAGAGTGGGTCCGGTTGAGGCTTCTATAATATAAGGACTCTTCTAGAGGTTTCACGGCTGCAGCAGCGACAGACAAACGCCTCGCCAGGATTTTCGGCAAGTTTCCTTGCTGCGGGTGCCTGGTGTATTCGCGCTGGTTGGCAGTATGCAGTTGGATGGGTGCAATGTGCAGAGCCCCCAAAGCAACAAACCCGAAGCCATAAACCTTAAACCCTACCTATAGTATCCATTGTAGTTCCTTTTCTGGTAAACCAAAGTCCCTATTATAGCATCCTAACCATAAGACTGATTAACCAAAAAAGGAACTACAATGGACAGTTAAACCCCTAAGCCCTAAACCCCTAAGTCCCTCAATCCTAAACCCCTAAACCTTAAAGCCTAAACCCTAAACCTTAACCCCTAAACCTTAATTTTCGGAAACTTCCATTTCAACCAAGCCTAGGAACCCGAAGCCCAAACTCGTGACCGCTAGCTGTTCTTTGTCTTTTTTCTGGGCTTTGGAGTACCATACTTTAATACTGCTGCTCTTACAGGAGCGATTATGAAATACAAGTTTATACTTTTTTCTCCCGGGCCCCCTAAACCCTAAAGCCTTTCATAATTTTCTGTTTCTGATCAGGGAGCGATCCTCCTGTGTCCGTGGCCGCAGCAGCGCCCGCTGAGCCGGCGAAGCCGCCGAAGGAGAAGAAGAAAAAGAAGAAGGAGGCGGGATTCTGTTTAGGGGTTTAGGGTTTAGGGGTTTAGGGTTTGGTGGTTTCGGGTTTAGGGGTTTAGGGTGTAGAGGTTTGGGGTTTAGTGTTTAGGGTTTTGGGTTTAAGGTCTAGAATAAGAAGGGATTCTGTCAGGTTTTAGCTAGCAGCTAGCATGTGCACTTCAACCACGTACCTTCAGTGTGTATGTACGTATACATATATATATATATATATATATATTTATATTTATATTTATACACACATATGCAGAACATAATATGTTTGATTTGACGTATACATACATAACATTAAGTTAACATTCTTATCCGCAATGGACGGGCTATTTGTCACTGCTGCTTTAAAGTTGAGAACGCTGGTAATGAGGCCCAGTGGTCGTGGAGCGAGGCCGGAGAGTATATCTACGACACCGTCGAGGAGCCTATCCAAATAGGTCCACCTTATTGATGTGCTTGCTTCTTTCGGCCAAAACAAAGCAGAGATCATGTCAGAGTGGTCGTGGCAATAAGACCTGGAAGGCCGCACGGCCCGGAAGGATCGCAGATATGCGTGCTGCATACCGTAAGACTTGGGACCCAAACCCACGCATCAATCCTGTCTCGCCTACTCTTGCCGGAATGTGACACTCCAATGCCAAAGTCGCGAGGCATTTGTTTCGACGACATTTGCTTGACATCTACGTGGGATGTCCGCCCAAAGACAGACAGAAGCTGGCGATTGCTTTATTGGGCAAAGGGAAGAGTCATGCGGGTTTCCTTTACGTAAGCTGTCGGGTTTTGGGTCTAGGGTTGTGCACGGGTTATGCAGGCGGGATTCCTGGTAGGGTTCCTGCAGTGGGTGAATAGGGGTCCTATCAGGATTTCTTGGAGCTTCTAGGATTTAGGAATGACTTGTAGGAGTTGGGGGAAAGCACTTCCATGTTGGATGGATGCGACGGCGCCTTAACCCCCTCACTCTTAAACCCTAAACCCTAACCCCTAAACCCCTAAACCTTAGGCCCCTAAACCCTAGACCTGAGGCTCCGGTGTTACATGGACCCCGGGCATCTTGGTGCATCAGTACAGCTTCATCGCTGAGCATGGGCACCAAAGCGAGTTGCCTAAACCCTCAACCCTAAAACCTTAAAGCCCAAAAACCTAAAGCCCTAAACCCTTAAACCCCAAAGCCCTAAACCCTCCACCTTAAAACCCTGAAACCTAAAGCCCTAAAGCCCTAAACCCTAAACCCGTGCAGAAGCCGTCATCCCTCCGTGCCATGTCTTGCTTGCATTGCCACTGCAGAATCGTAGAAATGAATGATAGGGCCCCCAAAAAGCACAAAAGCAACCTAAACCCTAAACCCTATGGATCCCTTTACGGAACCCTCTAGATCCCTTTAAGGAGCCGTCTACTGGGCCCCCAAAAAGCACATAAGCAAAAATAGGATAGGGATATCCCATATAAACCCCCTTATAACGAAGCCCAATATGATAAGGATATCCCTATACGATGCTTATGCTTACGTGCTTTTGAGTCCCTAGAATGAAACCAAGAGGGTCCATACACACTACCATTATGGAATTGCCCTAAGGTCCCAGAGTAGTTCCTTTTTGGGGGTTCATAGTACTGAGAATCCTATAAGGTAATCCCCAAAATGAACTATTATGGGGCTATGGGTAGGCCCCAAAGACCATCCTAATAGTGGTTTTGGGCTTAATCTGGCAAAGGCGTCTATCAGCATATTGTCAACACCTGCCTTCCGAAACCTCAAAACCCCAGCACACCCCCTACCTGGACCCTAAGGAACAGTCTAATGGGCCCAAAACCCTAGTCTAATTATTAACTAGGATGCCCAGTAGTACCCTGATTCCCTTTTTGTAGTCTAGGTTCCTTATAAAGTTACCCAATACCAGAAAGAGAGGCCTTTTTATTCTTAGGTTACTGGGTATCCTAGTTAAGGCTCTCCTCCATTAGGCTTTGTTGAGGGTTTACGGCGGTCTAGGGTTTAGGAGTATAGGCCCTAGGGTTTGAGGAACCCAGACCTTCCAAAATCCCTTAATTAAGGAATATATACCTTAAATCATATTAGGGATCCTGCTATAATTTAAAGTATATTCCTTAATTAAGGGGTTTTGGAAGGTCTGGGAAGCTTTACCTGGACCCTAAGGAACCTACCTGTTTAGGACCCCCTGATCTGATCCCTAAAAGGGTAGGTTATTTGGGATTAAGGTTTAGGGTTTAGGGTTTAGGGTTTTAGGGTTTTAGGGTAGGTTATTTGGTGTTACGGTAAACCCTAAACCCTAATTAACCCGGAACCCTACCTAAAGGATCATGGGACTTAGTAACTGTAGGGTTGAACGCTATGATTAAAGTAACTATACTTATAACTACTTCTATCCCCACTTAGAGTACCCGTAGCCTTACTTACTAAGTCCCATGATCCTCCAAGTAAACCCCAAAGCACCCCCCAATCGATTCCCTGCCGCGGGATAGGCTGAGGCTGCGGCGAAGGCTGCGGCAGCTCCACCTACCGCGGCCAACGGCCGAGAGCTCAGGAAGCAAAATACAAAGAAACGAAGCCCTTGATCAGGGGCGTACGTTTGGACCCAAAATCCGAAACCGCCTAGACTCTAGACCCGAAATCCGCAAAATCCCTAAACCCTGAGCCTTGAAACCGTAGGGCCTGTGGGCTTTAGTAACTTTAGTAATAGCCTTCAAGCTTGAGGGCATGAGGGTTACCAGGTGGTTCAGAAGTTTATATTTTGGGTTTCCGTGTGCCGGGTTCTGTTGTATGCGGGAGTTTCAACAATAGGGGACCCTAACAAGTAGGATCCTTGTCAGAAGGATCCTCAACGAATTTTCCCCTTCAAACTTTGACCTGAAAAGCGCTGAATATGATCTCTCCGACCAAAGCATGGACTGTAGGGTTGTAAACTCCCTAAACCCTAAATTCTAAAGACCCTAAACCTTCAACCCTAAAACCCAAAGCCCTCAACCCGAATATTCCGCAACCCTCTGTCCGAAATTTACCGGTAGCGACAAGGCGCGGACTGTTTGTCTCTTGGTCCAAGGTGCTGCGCCAGTGGAGCCCAAGCCTGTGAAGGAGAAGAAAGCAAAAAAGGACTGTGGGTTTCCCTCTAACGGGTGCTTTCAAGGGGTTTAGGATCTAGGGTTCAGGGGGGCTCGTCAATGGTTTGTGTACGCGATCTATAGGGTTTCACGTGTCACGGTGTTGGGCTCGCCTCTTCTGTGATTGTTTCCATTCTGTCCAGCTTTACAGTGTCAGTGCCGGGCAGGACTCTGGCTTCAGCATCATTATATTACCATTTCCGAAAAGTCTTATCAACACTTGCGTAAAACAGGTATGTTTCTGCTCGTTTACAAGATGTCGGTGTTCGTGTCTCCGGGCCTTTTTGGTATAGATTCTGGCACGCTTGTGGTGTTTGTTTCTTCCCGGAAGCTGCCCCGTGGGCTCCTTATTATCATCATAGTATAATATACCCCCTAAACCATTCGACTAGTGATTAAGGCCACCATATCACACCGATGACACGTATGACAATGTGGCTCAGGTCTGAGGGTGCCCGGACTTCGGAATGCAGTGTGTTGGTCTTAGTCTTTAGAGTTTAGGGTTTATAATTTAGGGTTCAGGCTGCTCTATGTATTTCTGCCTTATCGTCTGCAGTCCAAGGAGTCCAAAGTGTACCCTAAACCCTAAACACTATGGGGTGTAGTATTTGTATTCCTGCTGCGGAGATCTCTAATCCCGAAGCCCTAAGCTACCAGGACAAGAAAGAGAAGAAGCAGAAGAAGAACAAGGCCTGGCAGGTTCTTGGCCAGACTTTCCCAAAGGGTCCAAAATACCTATGTGAGGATATTTACCATATCAATAACAGCTCCTGGTGTAGAGACTGTCTTTTTTCTATATAGGTACCCTAAACCCTGAACCCCTATAAACCCTCTAAGCCCCAGTTTCTAGAAAGTATATGGGAGTTTCCGAAAATAGGGAACCCTGATATAGTACCCTAAATAAGGATCATTGTTATAAGGACCTCAAAATAGAGTACCCCTACTTTCTAACATATAGGTACTTGGGACCCTTCGGGTCTAGGACGTGGTTTGCCGCCCAGGGTCTAGAAGCGCCCACTTCGGATGAACCTCAAAGTAGATTTAGGAGTTTCCGAAAATTAGGGCTACCTTTATAGGTTCCTTTAAGGGTTACTATAAGGGTACTATAAGGGTTCTATAAAGGGTTTAGGGTTTAGGAGTTTCCGAAAATTGGGGCTACCTTATTCTAGGGTCCTTATAACAAGGATCCTACCATTTAGGGTACTAAATGAGGATCCCTCAGTTTCGGAAACTCCCATGTTGCGTTTTGCAACTTTAACCCTAAATCAGAAAGCCCTAAGCCCAATAATCCATTAAAACCCAACCCATATCCAAGAGGCCAAGGATCAGGCCGTTTGAGCCCAGCCATTAACGAAGCCGTGCATCGCATGAGCCCCCATTAGTTCTGGTCAGCCTTGTTGGATTTTGGGTTTAGGGTTTGGGTTTAGACTTAAGCATCCGTTTTGGTGTTGGGCCCTGTCTAGATCCCGGGTATTGTGCCGCTGGATGCTTTACATCTGGAAATTGGACCATGAATGCTTGTACGGCTCATTCTTCGTTGTTATTGCTTCATGTTCGGGCCCCTCGAATATTAGAGTGGGTCCAGGATAGCAGTAGCTGCCAATGACCGTTTAGGGTGATATCTTGCACTAGAATCTAGCTTTGGGTAGTTGAACCAGCCCTACACCCTCAACTCTCAACCTTTAGGTGTTTTGCGTTTCTGGTTTCTTTTGCAAGACCTCGGACTGAAGCTGTCTCAGTAACAAAGTCGTCTTCGGTTTTGCCGTCGGCGTTCCTTGAGAGACGGTGTTTGGGGCCTTGAGGCTTACCCATGGGGTCATACCTTCCCACTTTTTGACTTTACCTGCTTCTCAATAATTATAACAGATCCTAAGTATAAAACTAGCCCTAAACCTGAACCCCTAAACCCTAAACCCTTATAAGCCCTAAACCTGAACCCCTATACCCTAAATTTGACCCTCAGGCAGGGGTTTGACGCGAGAAGTTGGTTTGGAGTTTGGAGGTTCGGGCTTTGGGGCCCAGAGTTTAGAGTTTCGGGTTGAAGGCTCCTAAGCCCTAACTAGGATGCCCAGTAGTACCCTTATTCCCTTTTTGTAGTCCTAGGTTCTATATAAAGTTACCAAATACCAAAAAGAGAGGCCTTTTTATTCTTAGGTTACTGGGTATCCTAGCTAAACTCTAAACCCTAAACTCTAAACCCTAAACCCTAAACCCTTAAGGGCTTGGACCTCAGCTCCAAGGTTTGGGGCTCAGAGTTTAGGGCTCAGGCTTCAGGGTTTTAGGTTCTCGCGGTGCAATCTGCTGCCAGGAGAAGACATAAATACTAAGTCCCTAAACCCAAAACCCCCCCAAACCCTGAATTATGAACATCTGAGGAAGTGGGCAACAAGGATAGGCCTCAATGAAAACGCTGAGTCGAAGCCCATGGATGCCGTTGAGGAGTCCTTTCCCGAGACACATGCTTGGAGGATCATGGGACTTAGTAAGTATGGTAATAAGTACCTTAAGTGGGGTTATAAGTAATTAAAAGTATAGTTACTTTCATAAACTAAGGCCCATGACCCTCTAAGTAGACCCTAAACCCTAAACCCTATAGATCCCTTTAAGGAACCCTCTAGATCCCTTTAAGGAGCCCTTTAAGGAACCCTCGCTACTAAGTCCCATGATCCTCTAAGTACAACCGATGAGCGATGGCCGGACGAATGGACGCGTTTCAAAGACCCTAAACCCTAAACCTTAAACCGTTTGCATTTGGCGGTGATCTCGACTTTGGCATCTTTGGCCGCTGCAAAACTCCCTGAGTCTCCATTGTAGTTCCTTTTTTGGTTAACCAGTTTTATGGTTGGGATCCTGTAACAGGGATTTTGGTTTACCAAGAACAGGAACTACAATGGAGACTATAGGTCCATCGTACACCTTCTTCATGCAAGAAGAGTTCTTCGGTTGATGATATAGATCCTGCATTACTTTATTTAAGGATCCGAAACTATGGAAACTATGGCATATTCCTTATCATAGGTAATGCAGGATTTATATCATCAGCCGTCTGACTACATTTCGGAAGAACAGCAGCTGTACTTGCCGAAGGGGGAGGACCTGACGGTTGTGGCCGAGGGTAGGGAAGGAGTTCCAGTTGCTGCGAAGATAGGCGAATTCCACCTGAACCCTAAACCCTGAAACCTACACCCTGAAAGCCTATAAACCCTAAACCCCCAAACCCTAAGCCCTAAACCCTGAAACCCTATAAACCCTGTAAACCCCTAAACCCCCAAACCCTAAACCCGGAACCCTGAGTCCCATGATCCATTACCCAGACCCCCGGAAGGATCTAAAAAGTAGATCCCTTCATGGGGGTTCCTCTAAAGTACCCTTAGTAGCATAGGGCCCCAAATTAGGGGATCTACTTTCCGTTCGGCGGTCTGGGTAAGTGCCAGGAGAAGACCATCGTCCTGAATGGGGACGCAGAGATCTCCGGCAAGGCTCTTCTGCAGCCACGGTTTAGGGTTTAGGGTTTTAGGGGTATTGGGTTTGGGGTTTAGGTGTTTAGGGTTTAGGGTTTTAGGGGTATTGGGTTTGGACTTTAGGTGTTTAGGGTTTAGGGTTTTAGGGGTATTGGGTTTGGGGTTTAGGGTTTAGTGGCCGTAAGGTGCAGGGTTTAGGTGTTTAGGGTATTGGGTTTTGGGGTTTAGGTGTTAGCAGGTTTCTCTAAGGGTTTATGGAGGGCTTAGGGTAATTCTGGGATTTAGTGTAGATATTCACCGGTGGATGCAGGACCTGCAAAAGAACTAGCGGCGGCAGCACACAGGCCATAAAGTTTGGAACATCAATAACGAGACACTGTCGGTGTGTTCTCACTCTCCTTGGCTATGCAGTTGTGGGATGCAGTTTCACCCTAAACCCTAAACCCTAAACCCTAAACCCTAAAACCCTAAAACCCTAAACCCTAAACCCTAAACCCTAAACCCTAAAACCCTAAACCCTAAAACCCTAAACCCTAAACCCTAAAACCCTAAACCCTAAACCCTAAACCCTAAACCAACCAAGTACTTGGGAAAGCTCATGCCTTGAGGATGAACCTTGAGTCTCAGAGTAGCCCCCAACAGCTTTAGGGTTTAGGGTTTAGGGGTTTAGGGGTTTAGGGTTTAGGGTTTAGGGTTTAGGGGTTTAGGGTTTAGGGGTTTAGGGTTTAGGGGTTTAGGGTTTAGGGGTTTAGGGTTTAGGGTTTAGGGTTTAGGGGTTTAGGGTTTAGGGTTTAGTCTCAGAATAGCCCCCAACAGCCTCTCACTAGAGGTCTGCAAGTGGGCTCTGTTGCCCTTTTTCGTAGTCTTTGGTTCCTTATACACATACCCTATACTTGTACCAAAATAGGGAGTCCTTCTTTTCCTAGGTTACGGAGGATCCTCGTAATTACCCTAAGGCTCCATGTAACCACATAGCATATACTTAGGCCTTAAGGTACCTATATAGGGACCCTTTAAGGCTAAAGTATCTACTATAAAGGTACATGGAGCCTTAGGGTTACATAGTATGGCATTCTACCTCTACGCTCGAGTTTCATCCATCCCCACACCGAAATCTCAACCTGAAGCGCTAAACCTACATGATAATAGTCGACGGTCTCCTTAGGAATTATTTCGTTTTTGTTCATATCAAGCCCAAGTGAGTATCAAACATATAATTTTATTCGTGGTTCTAAGTGGTATAGTAGTTACGATGTATGTGCAATTAATACTTAAACACTCAACTATTATAGGAGCCCTTACAGGTGTTGAAGGGACCCTGGCAGGAACCCATTACAGAACCCGTCGCAGTATCCCCAAAGGAACACTCAACATGACTTAGATGTATTTAATACACCCTTGCAGGAACCCATTACATTTCTGTAGACACTCGAATGCGAAGCTAAGAATTGAAAACCATGCAAGCCCTAAATCGTAACCCACAAACAAACGGAAACGAGCCCATATACAAATTAATCGAAACCCCCACACCCTAAACCCCTAAACCCTAAACCCAACGACGATGAGTTGCTCAAGGGAGAGCCCTATTCTAACTACCAGGGCCCGGATGAGGTAACCCTTTTGAACACCCTTATACAGCAACCTTTAATGGAACCCTTAAACCCCCAAACCCTTAGGCATCCCTTGATCACCTTCTGCAGGGTCTAGTCGTGAAGCGACGCATGCACCGTTTCGAAGCCTCGGATTAAACGGCGTCTCCGAGCTGAACCCTCTATAGGGTTCCTTTAAAGGGATCTATAGGGTTCCTTATAATGGGATCTATAGGGTTTAGGGTTAAGGGTCTACTTAGAGGATCATGGGACGTAGTAACTAGGGTTGTAATTAGGGTAGCTATACTTATAATTGCTTGTAACCCCACTTAGGGTACTTATAACCTTACATACTCAGTCCTATGATCCTCCAAGTAAAGGAGCCCTTCAAGGATTCCTTATGGAGGCCTTGTAAGGAACTTTGGATGCCCACGAGTCTGCCAGGATGTCGTCGCTCCCGGTGAGGTTTCGCCTCCTTCCTCTGCAGGCTCAGTCGAATGGCTGCTGATGTAAACTAAACCCTAAATCCTGGGGTTCCTTTAGAGGGATTCAGAAGGGTACCTTCAAGGGCTCCTACAGAGTTCGGGCTTATGGTGTAGGTGGATGATTCAAATCCTGCATTACCTTAAGGACCCTAAACTATGGGATCTATGGTATATTCCTTGTCATGGGTTATGCGGGATTTGTATCCTCAGTCGAGGAAGTGTTTATCACGGCGTGATAAGGGTTTCACAAATTACAATGGTGTATTGAGGGTTCATCGGAGTTTCATTTGTTTGGAGGTTAGGGTCAGGATTTGGGTCTTAGGGCTTCGGCTTAAAGGTTGGGCTTTAGGGTTTCCGGTTCCAGGGATTGAAGTCGTAAGCCAGCTTACAGTAAGTGTAAACCCTAAACCCTAAACCCCTAAATCCTAAACCCTAAACCCCAAAACCCTAGACCCAAACCCCTAAACCCTAAACCCCAAAACCCTTATGCTTCTCACATAAATCCATATAGAATCCGAATAGTACCCTAAACCCTGAACCCTGAACCGTAGAACTCCTGTAGAACTCCAGCAGAACCCTTAAAGGTACCCTACAAATCTGTGAGCTTTTGACCTGCGCAAGGCGCCCCGGAGGCCGTGGTGGTTGCGGAGATGCCGGAGCCGATCCAGGCGAACGGCAAGGCCGGCCCAGAGAGTTGCAAGGTTCCCTTCTATAGGGTTCCTTACAGGGATGTATAGGGTTCCTCAAAGGGATCTATAGGGTTCCTTATAATGGGATCTATAGGGTTCCTTTAAAGGGATCTATAGGGTTCCTTATAATGGGATCTATAGGGTTTAGGGTTTAGGGTCTACTTAGAGGGTCATGGGGCTTAGTAACCAGGGTTATAATTCAGGTAACTGTACTTATAACCACTTGTATCCCCACTTAGGGTACTTATCACCTTACTTACTAAGTCCCATGATCCTCCAAGTAGGGTTATTAAGGGGTTTCGGGCCTTTTAAGGTTTAGGGCTTGGGGTTGAGATAGAGTAAACCCCAAAAAGTTGGAGACCGGATTCAGGACACCTAGTGCTGGGATTCCCTTTACATTACTCTCATGGACTGAGGCTTCCGGGTTTCCGAAATTGAGGCTTCTACTGTAAAGGGGGCCTTTAAGATAAAACCGTTTCACTTAGGGGTACTTAGAAATAATGTTTAATTTTTGGTTATTGTAATCCCTAAGGAACAGCTCAAGTTATAATTCTTGCTAGGGTTCTAAGTTCAGCAAAGTTCAGTGTTCCTGTCTTCGGGTTTCGGATTGAGGAGTCCAGGGTCTGTCCGGGGTTCAGGGCAGCGTTTAGGGCTTAGAGGCTTCTGACAAGGCATCTGTTGAGGAAAAGCCGTGCGGTTTATGGGCTTTAACCCTAAACCCTAAAGTTTCCTAAGGCTCTGAGGAGTAGAGCGCCAGGGTTTGCCTAAGTCTCCATTGTAGGTCCTTTTCGGTGTCGCTAAAGACCCTTTTCAAAAGGTCGTTTCATAAACCCTTAAAGTAAGCCTTTATAGCCTCTAAGCCGCAAAGCCCGAAACGCTAAACTTGTACCCTTAAACTAAGGTTAAACCCTAAACCCTAAAGCCCTAAACCCTCCCTAAACCGTAAATCCCAAAACCACAAGCCCGAAACCCATATGGATTCCTTACCCCGGGGCTCCATGTACCCCAATATTTTTCTACCTTTGGCCTTAAAGTAGTCTCTATGTATGAACTTCGGGGCCATAGTTTAAACTATTGGGGTACATGGAACCCATAGAGCCTTGTACCCTTCAATTCAGGAACCCTCACAGTACCCTTGAGCGAACCCTCACACCTCGTAAACCCTAAACCTACCGTAAAGGGACCCCTTCAAGGAACCCTAATAGTACCCTGTCATAGCCTTAAAGGAAGCCCGATCGAGACGCCCATCGGCCGAGCGTGCGTTGCCAGGAGATCAGCGCGGCGGTTGCTGCGGTTCCGCAGTCGATGAACTCCAGCTGAGGGCTCAGCGAAGGATTTAGGGCTTGGTGGGATTTGGGTTGGGGTTTAGGGTTTAGGGTTTAGGGGTTAGGGTTTAGGGTTTAGGGTTAGGGTTCATCTATAAAGGTTTGGATTTTGGGGGTTTTGGAGCCGTTCAGGTTTTGATGTTTTGGGCCGTTTGAAGTTTGGGTTTTGCGGTTCAGGGCTTAGGGTTGAGGGGCTTTGGGGTTGAGGGGCTTTGGGGTTGAGGGGCTTTGGGTTTAGGAGTTTGGAGTGTAGGGTTTGGGTTTTTTTGATGGTTACTGTAAGGGCTCATTTAAGGAATCGACAGGGGTCCCACCGACCTCTACTTGAAAGATGGGACGTAGTAGGTAAGGTTATAAGTACCCTAACTGGGGATATAAGTAGTTATAAGTACAGTTACCTAAATTATAACCCTAGTTACTACGTCCCATGATCCTTTAAGTAGGGCCTCCAGGGTTACGGGTTCCTCTTAACACACGTGCTCTCAGAACTGTTGTTTACGCATTGCGGTTCTACGTTGCTTAACTTGAGTTAGAGGGATCTGGAAGCGATCCTGTAAGGGATCCGTAAGGGTTCTATAGGGTTTTCGGATTCAAGTTTTGTCGGGGCTTTATGTTTTTTCATGTTTGGGGGGTTGGTTGCAACGTCCCCCTTCGGGGGGGAGCCGCGCGGCAGAGGCCAGTGATAGCGAGGATGTGCAATGGAGGGTAGCTTCTTGGGCAGAAAATCTGCCGGAGCTTCTTGGACCTGAACACCTGCTTGCCCAAAGCCATCTATGTGAAGCTTGAAGACGTCAAATCTGAATTTTTGCCTCCGGTGCCTTGTTCGCAGCACACAAGGTATACTCCTGAATGGCTGTTTGCTAGGCATAGCTTTGGGTTTTCTTTTGAAGGGGATCGGAGTTCTGTAGGCTATGAGGGTCCTACTAAGCCCTAGACTCTAAACTCCCTGCCTTAAGCCCAGTTATGCCCCAGAAGAACAGTTACCGGAGCAGTGGGTTACTTTCCTTGTGCATCGTTGCAGTTGCGGTTACAGTCGTTACTACCTCCCCTGATCCTTTAAGTATCCAAGCAGCTTCAAGATAAGTAAACAAAAAGACAAGCTCTCCGGGTTCAAGTATCTTGACAGCTGTGTAACAAGTTGCTTGGAGGATCATGGGACTCAGTAAGTAAGGTTATAAGTACCCTAAGTGGGGATATAAGTAGTTATACTTACACTTACCTTAGTTATAACCCTACAGTTGCTAAGTCCCAAAATCCTCAAAGTAGACCCTAAACCCTAAACCCTATAGATCCCATTATAAGGAACCCTATAGATCCCATTATAAGGAACCCTATAGATCCCATTATAAGGAACCCAAAAGATCCCTTTTAAGGAGCCCTTTAAGTCTGTGTGTTCGCTAGTCAGAAGGCGTCGCTGCAGCCGCTCGGGAATCCGCCTCCCCAAGTCCGAAGGGCAAGGACCAGGAGCGTGCAGTAGACACCCAGACCTTCCAAAATCCCTTAATTAAGGAATATCCCTTAAACTATAGTAGGATCCTTAATATGGTTTAAGGTATATTCCGTAATTAAGGGATTTTGGAAGGTCTGGGCAGGTCTGAGTAGGTGATATCTACCTATCTACCTTTCTATCTATGTATCTATGCGTCTGTCTATCTATCTGTCTATCTAACTATCCACGAACCTACCTACCTATCTATCTATCTATCTGTGTCTATATATATATATATATATCTCTCTCTCTCTCTCTCTCCCTGTCTATCGGTCGACCTATCTGTTTCCGTGTTTTTCAACACAGTATCTGTATGTATACAATATGTATGGAGTCTTTTTCAATTTACATATATATATACAAATATAAATACATATATATATATATACATATATACATATGGATAGGTATAGGCGTCTATGTACATACACGCATATAAATAATACTATCCCTGTCAGCCCCAAACCCTAAACCACACACCCTAAGCATCTATTTGTTCTCGTTTACATCTCGATCCTACACCGAAATCCTGGACAGACCCCCTGAAGAACCTACATGATCCTAGAACCCTTCTCGAACCTATGTAGGCTCGTTCTACTCCCTGCGGAACCCCCGGAAGGATGTAGCTGCTGCTGCCCAGTCTCCTCCTATGGCGACCTCTGGCTATGCGCTCAGACAGCCCGGAGCTTCTCGATCATTCCAAGGGTAAAAGGAGGGACCCTTAATAAGGACCCCTAGGTATATACCCTTAATATAGCTATTATATACCCATTATATAGCCCATTAAAGGCCGGGGGTCCCCATTAAGGGTCCCTCCTTTCCCCTTGGAATCAATCAAGGCATTTTGGAGCATTTGTGCTTCAGTTCTTGCCTTCTTTCGGGCTTTGTACAGCGGGCTTGGGGACCATATAGGGCAGTACTACCACTTCGACATGAAGGGTTCCGGATCGTGGGTTAACAACTAATAGTTAAAAGTGGCCCGGGTTTAGGGTTGACATCGGAAGTGTTCAGTGATTGGAGGTGTTCAATTTCAATATCGTGCCCGCTCCCCCCAGCCAGTGTAACTGAGCGAGCATTTCCATCCATTTACTCCTGCAGAATTTCGCCTCCTGGTGCTGTCGAGCTGCACCTTCATCCTGCTAGACATCACCTGTGCTGGGGTTCAATTCTCAGTGAGTCAACCCTACCGCCTGAGGGGTTGTGATACGGTGACCTCATATACTCAAAACTAGCATCGGATATGAGGTCGTGCAACAAGTATGGGAAGTTGGACTCGGCCTACCAGAAGGAGCTCCTGGCGACCTTGTATCCCACGTGGTGCGAATGGATCACATCGATACACTGCTCGAAGAAGGAGTTGAACTGCCTGTTCAAACTCCTGAGTGGCATAGCTCCGGGAAGTGCACTCCCTGGACGAGGCAAGGCCAGCTTCCACACGCGGAGGTGACAGTCGGCCCGCCATGGATGGACAAGCTCCTGTCGAAAGGCTGCCCGGATGCCGCCCATGCCAACCTCCCAGTCGAGTTTTGGAAGGCATATGGTTGGTGGACACTTGCTGACTGCAACCGTTATATTTTATTCAAGCCTCTATCTTACCAAACAGGGATTGGGGATTCGTGATGGCTTTAGCATTGAAGGGCTTTGAGAATTGAGATCCTTGAAGCCTTTGCCTAGTCCTGTACGTCCTCGAGATCGTCGAATTTCAAGCTATGGTAATACTACGTAATAAACACAACAGTCAGCAATCAAACCACCAGTTACAGCAATAAACATAATGTATCAACATTTTCATCAGTGACATATTTATTTTTGTAGTAAACGACGGGGAAGATACTGACCAACTACGATTTCACCAGCTGATACAACACTTGACGGAAGCTCCGCAAAGTGCTTCCCGACACACAACCCGTGAGTACTGGCCACTGTGTCTCCATCACGGTTTTCTGGGCGTTACAAAGCTTCAGTTACTGACCTAACTTGAAGGAGCACATGTACCCACGGATAAGGTTAGCATGCTTGACTTGAGCGTAAACAGGGTTCGACGTCTCGGATTGTTGCATTTTCTGGCTCAGGTTTCCTGGCTTGAGAAAGGAAGAGTTCCAGACTCAGATGTACACGGTTAGGTACCTAGAGGCTCCATGTATACTACCATTTCGGGATTAGGTTTCCCAAAGCCATAATATAAACCCTAAACCCTGATCCTTAACCGGTTAGGTATTCTACATGTTCAAAGATACTTAGAGGATCATGGGACTTAGTAAGTGGGTTGTAATTGGGGTTATAAGTCCCCTAAGTGGGGTTATCTCAATTATAACCTACTTATAGCCTTACTTATTAAGTCCCATGAGCCTTTAAGTAGATCCTAAATCCTAAACCCTAAACCCTATAGATCCCTTTTAAGGAACCCTATAGATCCCTTTTAAGGAACCCTATAGATCCCGTATGCAGGGTCTGTGTCTCCAGGTGATGCTACAGCTCCAGTGGCAGCGCCCAAGTCAATTTTGCGGAAAAGCCAGGCGCGCTTGGTTGGCTAGGACCCAGAGTAGGCCCTTATTCCCTTTTTTAGGGTTCAGGTTCCCTTATAGCTCCCTTTAAACCAAAAAGGGCACCCTTTTTATTCCTGGGTTACTCTAGGTCTAGTTGGGGGGCGTGGGAGTGGGGCTGGGGCCTAGATATGCGGGGGATGATACATAACAAACCCACAACTCCCCTCGTGAGGTGTAGGTGGTAGGTCGAGGTAGGTATAGGTGTGTGTGTGTGTGCCCTTCTTTAAACCCTAAACCCTAAACCCTAAACCCCTAAACCCTAAACCCTAACCCCTAACCCCTAAACCCCTAAACCCCTAAACCCCTAAACCCTAAGCCCCTATGCCCGCAACTCCCACTCCGATGAAAAGATGGCAGGTTCTGGGTAGATGGGCCACGGTATTAAACGGTTCTATGAGCCCAGACCTTCCAAAATCCCTTAATTAAGGAATATACCTTAAATCATATTAAGGATCCTACTATAATTTAAAGGATATTCCTTAATTAAGGGATTTTGGAAGGTCTGGGAGTGTTTCTTGGCACATGCGGTATTGCATCAGTGCAATGTACATGCACCTGGAAGGTCTTATTGCAAAGCCGCTGCATGTCCAAAGCACCGAGGGCGCACCTTCAAATCCTGGGATCCAAAATTCTCACTGCCGTTTTTGAGGGGTGGTTTAATCCTATAATTACGGGGTCATAACCTACTATATTGTAGGGTTTGGGGATACAGGTAAGCCTTACGTTTTTAAGGACTTATCAAAAGATATCATATCAGGGAACCCTAAAAAGGTAGGTTCCTTAGGGTCCAGGTACACTATGATGGCGTAGCACAACAGCCGAAGGCTTCCAGCGCTCCCAGCGCCTCGGAGCCCCCAGCACCCACGGCTGGCCAGTGTCTCAAGTTTAGGGTTTCGGTTGAGGGTTTAGGGCTTCTAGGTCTTAGGGGTTTAGGGGTCTATAGGGGTTTAGGGTTTTAGGGTTCGCTGCCTTTGGGGGTTTAGGGTTTAGGTCTTGTTAGCGGTCTATGGGTTATGGGTTCCCTGCCTTTACGGGTTCGGTTCCTTTAGGGGTTTTAGGTTAGGGCTTTGGGTTGAGGGCTTATGGGGTTCTTGTGGATTTACTCAGACTTAAGTGGATACCAGTAATATAACCATAGTAGGTTCCTGGGACATAGGTACTAGAACAAGGTTTATGTAGTAGGGTTTAAGGAACAGGAGCGCGCCGCCTCGGCCAGGGTTTAGGGTTTAGGCAGGGTTCATAAAGGACTTGTCGACGGTTGCATGGGGAGTCGTGATTTTCTTAAGGAACCAAAGTAATTACCCGATGCGATACGCTACTTACTTATCGTAGGCGCAACTGGAGGTTCGTATTTTGGGAGTATGCTATTCTTGCGCATTTGAACCCTAAACCCTAAACCCTAAACCCTTGATTGATGTGGCAATGGTTCAGGGTTTCGGCTTGTTTGATTGGGGGGTCAGGAGCTCGAAACCCTAAACCCGCACAGGGTCTACAAAAACCCACACCACACCCTAAAGCCTGTATCCTTACCCCTTCAAAATTGGAATAACTTCATCAACCCTGAATAAAGGCATGAACCTTGAATCATGGCTAAGAAAGCCCGCTCAACCACTGCCATCACCACCACATCTATACGAATGCGATTACAACCACCGTTGCACACGAAATTTGTTCTTCCACATCTGCTACTACCCCTAAGGCAGCACTACTACTGCTGCTACTACTACTACTACTGCTACTGCTACTGCTACTGCTACTGCTACTACTACTACTACTACTACTACTACTACTACTACTACTACTACTACTACTACTACTACTACTACTACTACTACTACTACTACTCTTACTACTACTACTACTACTACTACTACTACTACTACTACTACTACTACTACTACTACTACTACTACTACTACAACTACTACTATTTCTTCTTCTACTACTACTACTACTACTACTACTACTACTACTACTACTAATACGACTCCTACTCCTACTACTACTACTACTACTACTACTACTACTACTACTACTACTACTGCTACTGCTACTGCTGCAGCCTCCACTGCATCCACTGTCACTACAGCGGCTATCACCATTGCTTCTCAGTTGCTCCGGCGTCCGCATCGACACCTCCGCAGCCGAAGTCCATCCTACGGCGACCTCAAGCGACGGAGGCAAGGTGTTTAAGATTGAGCTGTTTATATGCTTCAGGGTCGGGGTGTGTTCACTTGTTAGTTAGATAGAGTGTGGATTTGGGCTTACGACTTAAGTTCTTACAGACTTTCTTGTCGGTCGATGTGTCCCACAATCAGGTTGTGGCTGCCGTGCAGAAGCCCCAGGAGGCACGTTGCCGGTTCCTGCTTACAGAGGCCTTGAACTTCGTACGCCTCTTTTTCTATAGCACGGCAAGATGATGATACAGAAGCATCGGGCGAACATACGAAGTTTTCGGCCTCTTTAAGTAGGCAAGATGGAATGAGCTTCAGGCCAACGGAAACAAGAGCGGTTCCATATGACGGACCGCAAGCAGAGCAACGTATGCAGAGGGATGTGTAAAGACAAAGGATTTCACTAGTTGTGGATTGCTAAACCCAACCCCAAAGCTTGGACCCTAAACACCATGCACGAAAGCCCTCAACCTTGTCTTAAGAAGCGTGCAGTGGCTGCAAGATATAACGTGGAATGTGGCTGGTGCATGACGGGAGCAAATCACTCTCAGATTTGCGGGAATGGCTTTGGGAGCAGGGTGTGCTTCCGACCGTGCGGGGAGGGGAAATAATTTGCAAAAAGAGCAGGCGCGTGCAGCTGTCTTCCTGCAACAGTTCGCTGGCTTGCAAGAGAAACCGTAAGCTGTCAATCCAATCCTGATAATGCAGACCAAGTTTTGCGTACGAGGGTCAGGCAGAACGGTTCTGGAGTGTATAGCCGGCATAGTTCTGGGTTTAAAGTCTGTGAGGTTTCGGAGGGGAGCGACCGGGAATTTGTAGATTGTTGGCAGTGTTGTAAAAAACCCTATCAGCACGCAAGCGCTTGCAGATCTACCCGCATCCTCGGACCATCTGAAACCTCAGGCCCAAAGCCCCCATACCATCCAGGGTCTTGTCATACTACAGTAGCCTCCATAGCATGCCCCCACCCTTCAATTTAAAGCGCATTGGCAATCGAGCAAGAGATAGCTTGACAAGTGCATGGACTCACAACGATGTCACTGCCCAGACCTTCCCAAATCCCTTAACTAAGGAATATACCTTAAATCATATTAAGGGTCCTACTATAATTTAAGGGATATTCCTTAATTAAGGGATTTTGGAAGGTCTGGGTGCCGGACTTATTGTTTCCTAGGCCATAGTAACCCTAAAGTCCGATCAGGTTCGAGGGTTCATGACTCAGATTTGGGTAGCATGGTCGTGGTGGGTCATGGGTTTAGGAGACTATTTTTTCAACAGTTGCATGAGCTTCTTCGTAGCATGCTGCACAGTAACAGCAGGCTGTCTGTCTGGCCGTCTGTCTATCCCGAGTCCGTCTCCTCTCCGCTCCCTTATTCCTGCGGGACTTATATTTTCACATTGCGAGTTTCTTCTGTGGGGTTGGACACTTTGCGGGTTGGATGCGGCTCATCAATAGTAATGGCCACAGAAATACACAGGCTCTGTGAATGCACTCTTTCGCCCTTCATGATTGTTTCGCTGGTCGCCATGGATCCAGAGCTGTGTGTGAGAGCTGCTGAACGCTTCATTATAAACAGGTTTCCGGTTTGGGCTGCTGACCCACTGGTGTCGTCAAAGCGTGCTGAGCACGCGAGCGAGTTGTAGCATACCCCCCTGGGTTCACAACCTGCGACCACAGATTAAGATTTTTGAAGGACCAGCTGAGCCCTCAAGAGTCTGTACAAGTACGAAGTCGCAACACACAGCGAAGAAGATGGTGGCACAAGGCCCTCTACTTTTGAGGGTCCGTTGGTCCTTGTAAGGTTGCCGATTGACACAAAGGGAACGGAAAAGACACCGGAGCGGGCTTTCAATCTTCGCTTCTCATGCCTTTGTCCGTGCTGTGGCCACGCAGTAGCTTGCACTCAAACATCCAGTGATCTCGATGTGATCTCAAAGGAAAAACATTGCGCCGGCCGCCGAACCCCGCTTTGCGGTCTTTGCTAGTGTATGTTGTGCAGCCTTAGTCTCAAACCTGCCTGTGGTCTCGCCGCATGCGTGGCGCCTTGATCCGACTCGTGGACGATGCGTGGGCAGACATCCCACCACACCAACGTTGTAGATTCGTGAGTTTAGCCCCCCATAGATGCTTGGTGCAGTAAATACACACTTCCGTCTTGCCAGGACATCACCTCCAAACTGGACTAACTGGACTTTCTAGACCTGGGATGTAGATCACAGCATGCACCCCAGCAGCCACGGACTCCATCAACATTTGTATCAACGAGTGCAGCAGCATCTTTTCACGATAAACCCTTGCCCAAGGCTCAAAACCTAAGTTGTTGGGCTGCAGGCACCGGTTCTTGCAACACGGATGCCGGTTGGTATTCGCTCGAAATTGATTTGCTTCTTAGCATGCTTAGCATTGCAGGATTCAGCGTCTAGGGTTTAAAGTACGGCACTTGCATCTCTAAGCCGTGCCATGAAGATGGATGTCTCGAGACGGGCTTCATAGGGAGTCAGAGCATAGGATTTCGGTCCTACAGCATTATATACATAGGCATGTGTTTAGGGTAAGTCGACAACCACACCCTGGGCATCCCAAACCCTACCTCCGTACTCCTCCGACAATGCGAAGGCCGTCAGGCAGCCAGGGCTGGATACGGATCCGCGTCTCGTGGTGAGCGCCCCATCGATTCTTCACAGACCATAAGGGTCCATGTGCCAAAATGGTCTATGCTTGGAGCACTGTATTTGAAGGCCAAAGTATATACTATTTGGTTACATGGAGCCTGAGGGAGAATAACCGGCGCACCTTCTTGGGGACATGGCCAGAAACTGAAAGGGGACTGGTTTCCGTTTTAAGAAACCTCGGTTACTTTAGATTATGCCAATAGTCTCCATTGTAGTTCCTTTTTTCGGTAAACCAAAATCTCCGTTTTGGATTTCCTAACCATAAAACTGGTTACCCAAAAATGGAACCACAATGGAGACTCTAGGTGTAGTCATGAGGCCCTAAACCCCAGACCATAACGAGACAAGCCTTTGGGCAACCCGGAGGTCTGGGAGGATCCAAAAAGTTGACAATCCCGCAAGCTCAAACAAAGGTAGGTTCTTCAGGGTTAAGATAGATCCTAAACCCGAAACCCTAAACCCCTAACCCCTAAACCCTGAACCCTAAACCGACACAGGTCCCTAAACCCTATAAGCGTGTTTGATGGCCATGTTTTGGTGCAAGCCTCTTGGAGGCGGACAGGTTTAGCGTTTTGGGGTTTTGGGGTTAGGGTTTAGGGTTTAGGATTTAGGGTTTGGGGTTTAGGGTTTATAGAGTTTAGGGTTTTGGGGTTAGGGTTTAGGGTTTAGGGCTTAGGAACTGGACCTGCGTTCGTGCGGAGAAAGAGCCACTGCATCTTTCAAACAACCCTATATATGGTCAGGCGTCTGGCGTTCCCAGCCCCCCCCCCCCCCCCAAAGGTATGGTCTGCTAGGGTGGGGGGGGGGGGGGGCTGGCGTGTGCGGACAGGGGTCGGAGCCGTTGGAGCTGTCACTGGATGGTGGGATGGTGCTGGCGGCCAGGGCTCACACGCAAGCCCTTCGCAAGCAAGCCGTAAACCCTATAACGCAGCGCGTGCCCTTGTTTTGAGTAACCTTAAGCTGTACTCCCAACCCTACACCCAACCCTAAACCCCACCTAACTGCAGGCTCTAAGCCTAAAGCAGAACATACACCGCAAGTCCTCCCTAAGCCCTTGTCGACTCGAAGCGTTATACCTTGTAACCGTAAACCCAACACTCAAAAGCTTAAGCTAAACCCTAAACCCCAAAACCCCACAACCACCCCACAGGGGGAAGAGGGACCCCACACCCCACACCAGAGGGGAAGGGGGGTCCCACCCTATATCCGGACCATTGACCTTTGGGGGGTGAGGGGGGGGGGCCGCGGAGCGCGTGACCATATATGCGTAGAGGCTCCATAGTAGTTCCTTTTTGGAGTTCATATTTAGAATCCGATAAGGTAATTTCAAAAAGGAACTACTACGGAGCCTATGGGAAAACCCTAAACCTAAACCCTAAACCACCTTAAGGCTTTAGTGTGAGAGTCGAAAAGCTCGAACTCGGAACCTGACAGCTCGTGGTCACGGTTAGCCATGGCACAGCCTGGGCATGTGTATATATACATATATGTATGTATATATATATATATATATATATACTTATCTATTTATTTATTTATTTTTGTATATCCGAGAATAGGGGACTCTAGAATATAGTACCCTAAATAATAGGATCCTTATTACAAGGACCCCACAATCAGGTACCCCTAGTTTTCGGAAACTCCCATATCGGCCTTTCAAAGGTAAACGTATTGGGAGTTTGGGTGAAGTGTGCATAGGACTCCCTCAACCCTGAACCCGAATCACTCAACCCTTCATAGGTTCTTAGTTGAGCTTGTAGGGGTTCAAGTTGTAGCCCCAAGAACTCTAAGCACTGTCTTCTGAGGGTGCCGTGAAAGCGCCTGCAGCAGACAAGTCAAAGGCCCACGGGGATTCGTCTTGAGCCCTATAAGGGTCCATGTACCCAAATAGCATATACTTTAGCCTTAAAGTTGTCCCTATATGGGTACTTGGGGGCCGCAGTATATACTATTTGGGTACATGGACCCTTAATTCGGGAAGGGTTTAGGGTTTAGGGTTCGTGTTTGTATGGTTCAAAGGTCTATGTCTGTGCGTTTTGGTGAAGGCAGATCCTTTAGACTGTTTGCACGTTTTGGCCTCCTGTTCGGGATACTGGCAGGTAGCAACCCACAGGATCTTAGGGTCCTAAAGTACACATTAACTGTATATTAGGGATGCCTATCCAAACTGTAGTAACAGTTCCTACTATGCAACGCCTGCTTTCTGCGATGTAAGTACTTAGGACCCTTGGCGTAAACAGCCCCACCTCCCATGGCTGAAAGTTCTAAGCCTTAAGCCCTACAGCCTAAACCTTAAACCTTCAGAACCCTAAACCCTAAACCTTAAACCTTTAGATTTTTGAGGGCTTTCGAGTGCTTACATCCGGAAACCGTCTTAGATGGGTCATAGGACCCCTAGGGTTCAGCTCAGATATGGGATTTTCCGAAAATAGGGGACCCTAATATAGAATATGAAATTTTAAAGGGATCTATAAGGGTTCCTCTAAGGGTTTCTATAATGGTTTAGGGTTGGGAGTTTCCGAAAATAGGGGACAGTAATATAGTACCCTAAATAGTCGGATCCTTATTATAAGGACCCCTAAAATGAGGTACCCCCAATTTCGGAAACTCCCATATGAAGGTATAGAAATATCAGGGTCGCCTCGCTATGGAAACTCAAGCCCAAGTCCTTGACATTGACCTCAGGCCCTAAACCCTAAATTCCTAAACCACTACCTTAGCCCCAAAGAGCCTACCTTTTTGGAGACTTAAATGAGGAAATCATAATGGGGAACCCTAAAACGGTAGGTTCTGCAGGGTCTAGGTAGGGCTTGGAGTTAGGGGCATGTCCTGAAACGAGGGGTCTTAGTTACAGGATATTTTATGCAACCCAAAGCGGGAGCTCCATTGGACGGTGAAGGAAACCCTAAACCCTAAACCCTAAACCGAATACCATGTTCTGTTGGGAGGGTCTGGTGTTTTAGGTTTCGGGATGGTTCCGGCGTTTGGGGCAACAGAACCAAGATTTCAGATGGTCGGTTTCTAGTGCTTTTAAGTGTGCATTGACCTGAGTGATTCATGGTTGGTGTGACGGTCCTGTACCCTCTGCAGTTGCAGGAGAGAGATGACGACGATGATTCCGAGTCGACAATGTCTTTCGAGTCGGACATCGAAACTCACATGCATAGATTTTGACGGGTGGTGGATCTTCACTCAGATTGCAAACCCGAAACCCGACTCCGAAACACTAAACTCTGAACCCCGGACCCTCAATGCAAAGCCTAGACTCTAAACCCTAAGCGCTGGTTTAAGGTTAAGGTTTCAGCGTACGTAACCCTTTGACCTTTTTGGGGCAATACTATTATATAACCATCCCCATACATGCCCAAAGGTTATAGCCTTTAGTTCCGCCAGGGTACTGGACAAGTAAGATGTGGGGTAGGTTCAGTTTAACATCTTGCTGTTCGGGATTATAGAAACCTTATGTTTCGTTCATATTTCAGACCTGTGAGCCTGTGAAGAGTAACCCTAAACCCTAAACCGGAGTACACGCCGTCAGATAGGGCTATAGAAATCGAACCCAATTCTTGCACCGGAGACCTCAGGACCCTTATGAACCCCAAACCCTCTACAAACCCTCACTCAAAGGGGAAAAGGAGGGACCCTTAATGGGGACCCTTGATTTCCCTATAATGGGCTATATAATGGGTATATAATAGCTATATTAAGTATAAACCCTAAACCCTAAACCCTAAACCGTAGGTATATACCTAGGGGTCCTAATTAAGGGTCCCTCCTTTTACCCTTGGACTCACGAAGCTTTGCCTTTGAACGCTTTAGGTGGGAACCTGATTGAAACCTAGGGCCAGAGAAAGAAAGAACCCCAAACCCTAAACCATAAACCCCAAACCCTAAACCCTAAACCGAGAGAAATATGGGTTTGGTGTCGAAGTTTCGACAGCCACCCCAAAGGCCCAAAGTCCAATCAACAATCCCAGAATCAATGCAGAACGCGCTAAGCTACAGTTCTGCTACCCGAAATCCTAGCAGTGCAGACGACTTGCAGATTACTTTCAAGGAGCCTTTCTTAAGAACCCTGGACCCTAAAGCTCACAACTAGAAGCCCAAGGAAATTGAGTCCAACACTGGAGGCGGCAGACCTGTTTGCCTGTCTGCTTCTTGGGTTTAGAGTTGAGGGTTTAGGCTTTCAGGTTTTCGGATCTAGGGTACAGGCTTTCAGGAACTTTTGTGGTTAGGGTTTTCCGAATTTAGGTTAGTGTTACCGGGATAAAGGTTTCTATCTCGTGTCCACTTCAGGTCTCTGTTTGTTTGAGGTCTTGTTGAGTAGGTCAGGGTTTAAGAACTTTGGTTTGGCTGGATTGAGCGATTCGATGCTGCCGGGCTACCAGGACCCGCGAAAGGCCATGGAGCCCTTATGTTCCTTGATAGTGGGTACTTGGGGTATATTAGAGGGTAGTTGGGGGGTCTAGGCAGGGGTTTCAGTTTAACCATAGTCCCCTAAACCCTAAATCCTAAACCCTAAACCCTAAAGACTATAGTAATTGGAATTTCATGTTGAGAGCCCCTGTTTGCAGGTTTCGCCATGCAATTTGCACCTTTAGGACTGTTGTGTTTCGGGTGTTCGTTTCACAGACCACTTCATTAGTTAGCAGTTTACTGTTCAAGCCCTTTGTAGAAGTGTCTAGTGGTGGTTTCAAGCAGCTCCAATATGGGGATGTCGACATAGTCATGTCCAAAAGATCCCCCCAACAAACAAGAGGATCATGGGACTTAGTAACTAGGTTTACCAATCAAGATAGCTATACTTCTAGTTCGTTTAACCCCACTTAGGGTAGCTATAGCACTAGTTACTAGGTCCCGTAACCCTAAACCCAAAACCCTAAACCCTTAAACCCTAAACCCTAAACCCTAAACCCTGTAAGACTCACGTGCAGGGTACATATTCTGCTTAATGTTTCAGCCGTGGGGCTTCACTATCCTTAACAGCCTGAGTTTCGACGTTTTCGCATGTTTTTGCAACGTGCCTCAGAAAGAGGATACTACACTTCGCCGGCTATGAGCCCGCAATTTAGGTTCTGTATCTGCGAACGAGTGCATTGGTGTTTCGGACAAGCAGGAAATGTGTCTTCAGCCTTCTAAACTGCATTAAGCCCTAGATCTATCACTCACAACGACACACCACCAGAAGCACAAAAAGATGCTAAGCAGGCTCGAAGCCTCTTTCTGAAATCAGGACTTGTTGACATGGGAGTTGGTCATTTCAGGCTGAGGGTTTCGGGCTTGTTGCTTCGATTGCCGTTTGCGGGTGTAGTTGCAGTAGGCCGCAAGCCAGGAGTGCCCCCTGCGCGAAACGTTCAAGTCGGAGGAAACCCTAAACCCTAAACCCTGAACCCTAAACCCTAAACCCTAAACCCTAAACTCTAAACCCTAAACCCTAAACCCTAAACCCTAAACTCTAAACCCTGAACCCTGAACTTCTTATGGACTGGAATGTCCCAATCACGTAACTCCAAAAGCACTAGAAGTGCCACTTTTCTTGGGTGCTACCGTGTTATACGCATGCGTTTAGCTTTTCCAGCCGACGTCTTCGCAGGGGATGCCATGCTCATTGATGACGGCGGGGGCCCGCAGTGTTTGGAGTGCTGGGGCTGAGGTGGATACCTGTGATGAGTCTTATAGTACTGCTGGGATTAGGGGTTTAGGATGTGGGGTTGGGGGGTTCACAAAGGTTGAGGGTACAGGGCCCTCCTCGCCCGACTGACGGGCCCACCGCTGGGAAGCAATGGTTCCGAGAAGGCCATTTCTCGTGCAGCAACTGGTTCCTGAAGCCCCTAATCCAGTCATCGCCCTTTCAGATCCGGTGCATACACCAGTTCATTCAGCATCAACAAGTTCAGTCATGCATGCAGACTGTGTTATAACCGTATTATAAATCCCGCAAAGCGCGAAAATAGGCAAGTCCCCACTCGTGCACACAATCCGGCCCGTTTCCAGCCCAGCCACGGAACCATTCTGCCTTGTTGGCCAAACCTGTCCCCGCTTCAGGCCTTTCAGTTTCGAAATGCTGATTCTAAATCGCAAGCGCCAAACCCCTTCACCGTAAGCCCAAACCCTTAGCCAGTAACAGAGTCACTAGCAACCAAGGCACATGTCGGTGGACCTAAACCCAAGTCCAGAATCTGCAACCCTGTAGTAGAAGACCTTTAGATTCCAACACCCTACTTGGGAATCCAGGCACACCGCACTTTTTAAACACAAAAACAGAGTCCCAAGCCCGCGACCTAAACCTGGAATCTGCAACCTTCCATTATAAGCTTGCTGATATGAGAGCTCCCGAACCAAGGAACCTGTCACCAGCCAGACCTAATAACTCGAGATTTGAACGGCAAAGAACCCTAAACCCTAAACCCCTAAACCCTAAACCCTAAAGCCTAGCCTAAGCTTTGTGTTCGGCATCCCGGAATCCCAGCAGAGTCTTGGGCTTTCAGTGTTTGGAGTGTGGTTCAGTTTGGGCATCAGGGCCTGCGGCTTCGGTACAGGGTTTAGGGTTTAGGGATGTTTAGGGTCTAGATGAAGAAAAGGTTTGCAGAACTCGAAGCATTGTTGAGTGTATCAGTTGACGAGTTCTGTTGAAATTTGCAAGTAGGAAAGGCTTAGTTGCTTCATGGTCTTGCAGAGATTTGCATTTGACTTCGATGCCCCTGAAGACCCAGATTAACTCCTGATTACAAACCCCGGCTGGGTTTGGGACTTGGGGCAGGCTACGGCAGCGCGAGCGACTGACACTGCCCGTCGACCCACGGAACAGCTGAGGGACGATGGACCCGCACCAATGGGCGGCTGCTCTTGGGAACGGTTTAGGGTTAAGGGCCTTACTGTAAGCCCTGATCCCGTAAATCCTAAACCCCAAACCCCTCTTTCCTGACATGCAGCAGCCCTGGTACGGCTCACATTTGCGACTGCTCGCAGCTTCGGAGGGGGCCTACTCCTACGAAGGGGAGCTGGGGGCATTGAAATCGAGGTGTTTGGCAGGTCTTGATATCCTCCCCTACAGAAACACAAAATATCTGGGGTTGAGGCATGAGGGCATTCCAAACTCGGCGTTAAGGTTTGTCGATGCGTGCCGGAAGGTCTAAAGCACTTGGGTGGGGTTTAGGGTTCAAAACAGGATTTGTGCTGTGTTTGTTGTTTTCTGGTTTCAGTTTTTGCTGGTCTACTGGGTTTAAGGCTTGAAAGTTTTCAGTCAGGTACGGCCCCCACTCAGTAATAGTTGAATAATATGCATAATATAGATATAGTAGGACCTTAATAGTAGCCCTACTATAGACTCTTGCTGTATGGGGGCCGTACCTAAGTTTTCAGGGACTAAGAACGTTTTGGGTTTTTTTTCAGAAGATTGCCGGACTTAGACTTGGAGGCAAAGGATGGTCTGAGTTGAATGTTGGTGTTGGGGGGTTGGGGGCTTCGGGTTTTAGCGTTTCGGATTTAGGGTTTGGGGGTTAGGGTTTAGGGTTTAGGGCCCAAGGTGATTCAAGTTCTGGCAATTCTAAACCCTAAACCCTAAACCCTAAGAGTTAGAGCCAGAAGTAGGGTTCAGAAAGGTACCCTTTAAGGGGTCTATACATGGGGCTGAAGGCCTTTCAGGGGCTGTTTAACCCCTAAGACTCAGATAGTGAACGGGGGAACTTAAAACTTTTTGGCCTCAGATATGAGCTCCATCTTAGAAAGTTTGAATGCTTTGGGGCCCAGCTGTTGAAGAAGAGAGAAGCCCTAAACCCTAAACCTTTGGGGCTGGAGGCCTTTCCGGGGGTTGTTTAGGGTCAGCGTTCATTCCTGAGGGTCTCACGGACCCTAAAACCTATTCCCCGAAACCTTGAACCCCTAAACCCTAAACCGCATTCGTTATCATGCCCGAAGGGCCTCTATCCCTAAGGGTCCATGTACCCAAATAGTATATACTGTGGCGCCAATTTACCCATCTAGGGACAACTTTAAGGCCAGAGTATATGCTGTTAGGGCACATGGACCCTTAGGGTATATGACTCCGACTACACAAGTACTGGATTGCTTTGTTGGTTCGCAGTTTTTTTCAAGTGTATAGGTAGAGGTGCAAGAGAGGAAATTTCGGGCTGTACCCAGCTCACTGGCTTAGCCCAGAGAATGTAAGAGATAGGCCGCCAATACATTCCAGCTTCCCAATCACTGAACCCTACACCCTAAACCTTAAGCCTTAAACCCTAAACCCCAATCTCAATCCCCAAACAGTGTACGGCGTGGGTTTAGACTTCGGGGTTTAAGCTCCAGGGTTTGGCCTTCCCCCAAACCCTGAAACCTAAACCCTAAACCCCTAAAGCCCTAAACCCCCAAAGCCCTTGTAAGTGCAAGACATGGACGTTTGCACTCTTCAGTTCAATGCCTCGGGTGGCCCTTTGAGACAAGTGGTGCCAGCATGTTGTGCACGAGCCAAACTCAGAGGTCTTTAATTTGCGGTTTAGGGTCTAGGGTTTAGGGTTTGGGGGAATTGCAATCCCTCAACCCTAAACCCCAAACCCCTAAACCCCTAAACCCTGAACCCTAAACCCTAAACCCTCAACCTATCTCAAACCTTAGCCTTTATTTCCCCGTGAAAAAAAAAGCTGGGCAAGCAGCCTATAGCGACCTCAGACCCATCTGACGCACCTGCACCCTGAGTTTTTTGGAGCATGCTATCGAGAGTAATGTAGAAGACTGCAAATTTTGCAGTTTATCCCTTTATAGTTCCTCACACTGCATTTTTTGCACTCTATCCCGTTATAGTTCCTCGTATGAAGTAGATGCACTGAAACGCACCCCCCAAGCCCTATTTTTTACTAGGGCCCCTCTATCAGCACGGGTGCACAACGTCGCGGCTCCGTGTAACGCCACGCCAGCACAGAGCAGTCAGCTCTTGCGCAGGCACAAAAAGTTGCATGAGCCCCTAAACCCTAAACCTAAACCCGAGCCTAAGCCCCTAAAGCCGAAGATCCGATAGGCTATGTGGGTTAAGGGTTTATGTTTTTTTTGACATGATGTCTGAACCCTCACGGTGCACACGCTCATGCAAGGTCTCGCGCAAAACAGGAGGGTTTAGGGGTTTAGGGTTCAGGGTTGAGCCTACATCTTTAACCCCCTAAACCCTAAACCCTAAACCCTAATCCCTAAACCCCTAAACCCCTAAACCCTAAACCCTAAACCCTAAACCCTAGCTGTTGATCTTGTCGCAGTTGCGAAGGGGGGGGGCCTCTGCCACTCCTCATAAGAAGTGGTTGTGTTGGCGTAGAATCTCGAAAAGTTGTCTACACCGAAAGTACATACGAGATCGAGGTTTAAAGCTTCTGGCATCTCTGCTTACCAAATCCAAGGCGTCACAGGCCCCAGACCTCGATAGATTCCCTAAGCCCTAAACCCCAAACCCTAAAACCTAAAACCTCAGAAGCTTAGACTTCTAAAGACCTAACGTTTTCAAGCCCGTAACCCTACAGCCTGAAAGCTGCGCCCTACACTCCCAGCGTCTTAAAAATAGGCCCCTCTGTGTTACAAACACCGACTGCCGGATGCCGCCGCTGCGTCCAGCCCGAAGCTCCTTTCTTCTTCCCTGTTCCCGTTTGCATGCTTTTCCCGTCGGTGCACCAAGTTTTGTAGAATTTCTCTGAGGGCCGTGGGGAGCACTCGATGGAGTGATGGTTTCAGGTTTTCGATTCTGGGGTGAGGGGCTACGGGTGATTGATTTTTGATTTGGGGTGTCGGGTTTGTATCAAAACTCTGCACATAATAGACCCATATCATAAGGCTAAACCCGATAAAGCCTGAACCCTCAACCCCCCATCCCCAAAACCCAAAACCCTCAAGCCCTCAAGCCATAAGCCCAAGACCTAAAGATCTAAACCCTAAACCCTAAACCCTAAACCCTTAAAAACAAAAGATTAGGCCCGAAACACTGAAGGGGCTCCCATGATGCGTGGAAGCTTCGAAGCCCTCAACTCATGATCTCACATACCCATAGGGTCGGTTTAGGGTTTAGGGTTTAGGGTTCAGGGTTTAGGGTTTAGGGTTCAGGGTTTAGGGTTCAGGGTTTAGGGTTTAGGGTTCGGGGTTTAGGGTTTAGGGTTTAGGGTTCAGGGTTTAGGGTTTAGGGTTTAGGGGTTAGGGGTTTAGGTTCAGGGTTCCTTCATAAGGGTGTAGATTTCCTTTTGAATTTAGGGTTCCTACGTACCAGAAAGTAGAGTTTCTATAACGGTACGGTTTGGGTATATATCCCCCAGACAGGTAATAGGACTTTTGGGGGATACTTATCCCTAAGGCTCCGTGTACCCAAATGGTATACACTCATGCCTTAATGTACTTGGGAAGGAACCGTAAACCCTAAACCAACCCGTTTAAGACCTAAGTATATACAACTTGGGTGCATGGAACCTTCGAGTGTTGTTCCAGGAGCTGGCATACAGTATTCGAGGGTTTGGGTTGAGGGTTTAGGGTTCAGGGGTTTAGGGGTTTAGGGATTATGGTTCAGGGGTTTAGGGTTTAGGGGTTTAGGGTCTGAGCCGGATCGGCACCGTGCGCATCCACAACCTCGCGCCCCGGTGTGGATACGGAATTTGGGGAGGCCACCTGCCCTGTCTGTGGATGCATTTTACCATTTCTTACAGGTCGCCCGCGTGTGATAGTTGTACGGGTGCTCTGCGTGAGGATGACTTCGCCGCCCCTTCCCAGACGGACCCAGACATCGTGGACGACAGCTACTTCACGGGCTGTGGAAGCCAATGATGCGTAAGCGGGGTGCTTTAGGATTAGGTCTTTGCTTGTGGGCTGTGCCTGCATGTGCCATAGGGACGGACATGGAAGACAAGACAAGCTGAACGGAGCCTCAAGTTATTCAATCTTCAGGGCTGTGGTAGTGCCGGGAACTGCTGGGTTCCTTAACAGGCAAGGGTATCATATCCCTCACGACTCGCGACACGTTTGCAATTATTGTTTTCAGACCACAGAAATTCTGTCGGAGACAACCTCATACCCAATCCCAAGCCCATAGTACGATAGAAAACGCAGGGACTGTCTTCAGCTATGGGCTTTGGGAACAGAGTTGGCGGTGGGGACAATCGTCAAAGAGCTTGGATCAGAGCGATAGGTACTGACATTTACTTCTCTTTCATAACCCCTGTGTTATCCTAAGCCCAAACCCAAAACTCCTAAGCCCAAACCCACAACTCCTAAGCCCAAACCAAAAACTCCTAAGCCCAAACCCAAAACCACATTCCAAAGAGTCACAGCCCTCTCAGGGGCGCATGGCCTGCTGGCGCGGAGTTTGCCGGCTGTGCCGAGGACGAGGTGCGGGGTGCCAGGCATGCAGGGTTTGTAGGGTTTAGGGGTTTAGGCTTTAAGGTTTAGGCTTTAAGGTTTAGGGGTTCCGAATTTGGGGTTTAGGGTTTAGGGTTTAGGGGTTTAGGGTTTAAGGTTTAGGGGTTTCGAATTTGGGGTTTAGGGTTTAGGGTTAAGGTAGGCTTTCGGTTGGGATGTTGTTTTGTTTACGCAAGGTTTGGTCTTCAGGGCGCTTGGCTTTGGTAGTTATAAGGTTCGAGAGGCTTTAGTTTTCAGGCGCAAGAGCCAGGCCATACAAGATATTGTTGCTATGTCCGACCTTACGCCCCAAACTCAGGCAGCCTAATTAGCAGGGTTTAGAAGCAGGCTCGGTTTAGAGTATGGTTGTGGGGGTTTGTCCAAGCCCCAAGAGGCTTGAGTTCTGAATCGCGACTGAGGCTCCATCTCCC